TAAATTTCTCTATGCTTTTCATGCCTATTTATAGTCAGAGAATATGACAACATTGATTGGCTCATAGATTTAGCCTCTTTGCATTTTGATTGATCAGCCAAAGCTCGCTGCTGATTGGCTACTTTTGATCCTAACATTTTCAGAAATTCAAGTTGTATTTGTTTTAGTGCATAAACTCACTCAAAACCTTAAAAAGACTTTGGTTATATTAATAAAAATTATGCATCTCAAGCCAACTACAAGGCATTATAAAGTAGTTTTAACACTTCATGCGATCTTGATTCTGTTCCTCTGTTAATGCAGCCTAGAACTGGCTTTTTTGGCAGCTGCAGCACACTGCTGGCTCATATTTAAGTGATTGTCCACTAGAATGACAAGCCCGACTCCTCTCGCATTGTACTGTATTGTACTGTATTGAGCCAGATATTCTATAACCTATAGCCCCTATTCTATAACCATGTGTTGCTTTTTCTTGCCTAAATATAGAACCTTACTTTTCTCACCATTGAATTTCATTTTATTAGGGCCCAGTGTTGAAGTTTGTGAAGATCATTCTGTATCTTGAGTCTATCTTCTGGAGTGTTAGCCAGCTTGTATCTCCTCATCTAAATTTTTGATTAAGATATTGAATAGTACTGGGCCTAGGGCAGAATTTTGGAGTACCCCACTGCATACTTCCCTCCATGTAGATGCAGTTACATAACACTTTTTTTAAAAAAGAGCAAAATGGTGCAAGCTTGATTTAAATTATTTATCCTTTGTGCCTTATTTTACTTTGTACACATTCTGTTTTGTAGGTTGTACTCTATAGGTTATATTTAGTCTAAATTGCTGGCCTCTAATAAAAATTGATTTGAAGTAAGATAAACCAAGGATGTTCCTCAAGGAATTTGCTTCAGCTAATACTTAAGATAGCATAGCCTCAGTCAGGCCACTAAGGAGATGCAGTCTAACCAAATGAGTAACGTGTGGAATAAGGACCCTAGATTACTGCCTTTATTAATTTGGTTTGTGTAATTTCTAAACCAAAAATATCCCTATAGATGCACATCTTCATACAATATAGCATTGAACCCAGTGCATCCTTCTTAAAGTGATAATATTGTCACATTTTGACACCACCATGCCAAACATTTCAGCTGGAGAACTCTTCTAGTGAGCATATAATCAAATGACCTAAAATTATTTAAGGAAACTGGAGTGCATCAACTACCTATAAATTAGTGCCATCTTCCTGGTACTGTCTTCCCTTTCACAGGCTGTTGGAGATAGGCTCACGTGTCTGTTCAGATTGATAACACTGTGGTCAGAATTACTAGTATGAATCAGCATCCTGTCTCTCTGAATAAGTTTCTCTACAGAAAAAAAAATGAGCAAGTACTCAAAGTTGAGATATTGAATAAGGAACAAAGATTTTATGAACATCTTATCTTGACCTGTGTTTTACTTTGGCAAATGGATAAATTGGTAAATTCACATAGTTCTTCTCCCCCTAGAAGCGGGCAAAGATTTCCCAGGAACAATCTAGCCAATAATGTATTGCTCCTTCTACCAAAGTTGTTTGGAAGATTAAGTAATATTTGGCAGATGATATCAACAAACATAATTGTTAGTGTTTCTCAGTTGTAAAACAGATTTTTCATAATAGATACCGTATTTTTCAGGGTATAAGACGCATCAGAGTATAAGACGCATCAAGATTTTGAAGAGCAAATTTTAAAAAAAGTAGGTAGGTAGAGGGATAGAGAGGAAGAGAAAGAAAGAGAAAGGCAGTAGATAGGGGAAGCGAGAAAGAGAGAGTAGATAGGTAAGTAGATAAAGGGATAGATAGAGAGAGAGAAATAGAGAGAGAAAAAGAAATACAGTAGGGGGGAAAGTGTAGGTAGGTAGGTAGAGGGAGAGAGAAAGAAAGAGAGAGAGAATTACAGTAGATAGGTAGGGGGAGAGAGAGAGAGTAGGTAGGTAGGTAGGTAGGGAGATGTTTCCAGGTGTATTTATCCATGTGCTGGAGAAGAAAATCGCTGACAATCTGCAGCACCTAAGATTTTGTTTCTGCTGGCACAGCACTTGATCAATGTAATTTTCATCAATCAGTTAAAGAGCTTTCCAAAAGGAAAAAAAGTTTTTGTACTCTACAAACCTCCGAAATGGTCATATTTAGGAATAAACTCCTTCTCTTAGCTTTATATTTTCCCTTATAACAATTTCTAGTTGTCTGATTTTTTTTCCTAGTAAGTCTTTTGTCCCACTTCTCTGTTCCTGCCTTCTCACTTTTCTTTGTTTTGACACATTCATGTCCGTATAATTAAGACACAATTGCTATTTTTTTTAAATTTTAGGTAGTATTGACAATTCTGTCTCTTCTCATCTCATTATTGTGAGGAGCAAAACTTTTAAAGTTTGCAATTATATATTACAGATAGTCCACAACTTACAACAGTTCATTTAGTGATCATTCAAAGTTACATGGCACTGAAAAAATGAATTATGACTATTTTTCATAGCTACAATCTTTGTAGCATTCCCATGAACATGTGATCAAAATTAAGATGCTTGGCAAAGGGTTCATACTTATGATCATTGCTGTCATGTGATCACCTTTTGCAATCTTCTGACAAGCAAAGTCAATGAGGAAGCCAGATTCACTTAACAACCAGTTACTAATTTAGCAATTGCAGTGATTCACTTAACAACTATGGCAAGAAAGGTCATAAAATGGGACAAAACATTTAAAATGTTTAACTTAACAACATAAATGTTGGGCCAGTTGTGGTCGTAAATTGAGGACTCCCTGTATTTCTCTAGTTTTGATACATCATCTGAATGGCCATTTTGAACCTTTTGGTTGTTGTTTCTGAAGGTGCTATTTTTGATTTGGGGCTCTGCCTGTGGATATTCTCTTTCATTCTTCCTTTCTACAGTATTAATTTTGTTTTCAACCAAATTCAGAAAATGTCCTTCCATCTTTCTGTCTAAAGTAGCAGATTTTAAGGCAAGGTGTTGGCATCAGTTGTGCAAATTTGTGTTAGTATTGAACAGAGAAGCTAAATTAAGAAATGTATCTTTCTAATTTGTTTTATTTCAAAATAAATGTTGAAAAAACATCACAATTTTCAGATGGCTGAAGGATAATAATGACCTTTGGTATTAAGCCATTGACAAACATCCAGGTTTACTTCTTATTCTGTTAAGGGAACAGTAACCTCTCCAACTTGCAAAAATAATCTTTCCATGGATATGACAAGCAGCTTTCTTTTCTGCTAATTGGGCCTAAGGAGGACTGAATGTCTTTTCATCTTGAAAAGTAAATGTGATTCCATTCCCCTCATGAGTCTTTAAGAACAGAAAGTTCCAGTAATAGCTATTTTGAACAAGTAATAAACAAAATCTGGCTTAATGTCTCATTTGGGATATATCTGCAAAATAGATGTAAATACCACCACAGTTTGTAAGTTATATTTCTGAGTATATTGAATTTTACAAAATCAGCATGAGGTATTCTGATTAAATGTTTGTTTCAGCATTTTAAGGTTTATTCTTGCCTAAGAAGGTTTTGCATTGAGTACTGTGTAAACATCAGATTATACAGAATTAACTGCATTTATCATGCAGAGTACAAAAGATATTTTAAAAAATGGTTTATCTTCACTTATCAAGTATGTTTTCATGCCAAAAAAGTTGTTTTATACAAGAGCAGCTGTTACTTTGTACATATTTAATGGTTCCTGTTAAGTATACTTGTCAATGATGCAATATTAAGATGCCAGTTTCATTCTTCTGTGTCACAATATACCTTTGAAATCAATTTCACTTTAGAAAGTAGAATGGAAACTTGAGAAAACAAATTGTTCCCCATTTCTGGGCACAGTGCCAACACAAAGAAGTGTATCTGCATTATCATGTGCTAAACTAAACACTGAAATTCTAAGACTTGTCAGATCCCCTGTTGATCAAATTGCATGTGGTAAGCTTTTTGTGAGAATAGGGGGCTGTTTTTTACAGATAGGCTAATGTTCATCAACAGATTAAAGGAGAAAAGTTTCATGCATCACCTCTTAGTATTAACTATATGTAATTCATTCTGATGGAAAATAAGGCAGTGGGTCTCTTTATATCAGCAATTATAATTTCTACAATCTTAAATTCTAATTCTATTTTTAAAAAACTTATATAAGAAAAGAATAGATCATTTCCATTTTGAGAATTATTATTTTTTAGGTATTTTCATTACATTTAAGACACTGGCCTCAAATGACAGTGGTAGAACAGGAAACTCTGTCAGCTGAATTGCAAACAATTAAAAATTACAGTCCATTAGATTTGAACAGATTAATGATCTCTTAGCCTATAATCTTCGTTCACTGATAAAGTGGCACTCAGTCTCTTCATCTCAATTTCCACAATCATGTAAGGCTGCTAACTTTGTTTTTCCCCTCCATTTCTCCCTCTTCCACACCCTAAATTTAAATTCCTGTAATGGAAAACCCACTCTAAGCATCTGAGGAAGTGAGCTCCTGTTCGCAATAGCTTATGCCCTAATAATGTTAGCTAATCTTGAAGACGCTGCCATTTTCAATGTCTACAAACATCTGACATAATTTCACAGCTGCAGTGGCATCACTTTTTAGCTATCACTTCATAAACTTTTTCTTGAGAAATCACAAAGTCAGTGTTTTTATAGCGGTGCCACTGCTTTTTTTTTGTAAAAGCTGCTAGCATTATATTCATATTGTCCCAGTTATAAATGTCAATTTGGTTTTCTAGACAGAATACTAATAGTTTGTATTTAATCCTTCTAGGAGTGAACACTTCCAGTGATATAGATTTTACCACTGCACATAACAATCTGTGAAGTGACAATAACATCTAATAATTTCACACTGTATGTTTTTATGGATAGTAATAGGAGCCGCTTGAATAAAAGCAACTCCAATTGCTATTAAAGATTATTACTATTTTCTGGCAATAGAAGATACCAGTTTTATTTATTAAATCCATAGAGATTCCAAGACATAAAAACAAAGAAGATAATTTAAGAGAACCTGTTGTGGACCTGCGTATGACACCACAAGAACATAAAGCTAAAGGTAGTCTCCCATCATGCACTACAAGTGATGATTTCCTCAAATATACAACGTGCAACAGCTCTACAAGGTAAATGCTCAAAGCGGGCTACTATCAAAAGAGAAAAAAAAATGCAACTGCTCACCAATCAAATTTTAAAATCTAAATATCTGCAATAAAATGGGAAGAACAGGTGTTGACGAATATAACTACGATGGATGGATTTAATCATATTTGTAATAGCCACCTGCTTTTAATAATTGAGTGATATACAGTATTAAAGATAGAATGAACAATATACAGCAAAGAAAAAGTTCCTATCTAGAAATACCTTCTAATATATGGCATGCAACATTCCCACAAGGAAAGTGCCACCAATGTAGCCCAAGGCCTGGAGGAAGGTTTTAAGAGCCCACTTAGATGAAGTCAGAAGAACACTACAAATCTCTAGGAGTAGGCTGTTCTAAAGAAGGCCTACTTCCTAAGTCCCACAAAATGACACTTTTTAATGAATGGAACCCAAAGTGTGTAATCTCTATTGTATCATATTGGACAGGCAAACAGGACAGAATAGGCAGATACAGATAGATGGTCTGACAGATATCTTAACTGACAATACATAGCAATATTTATATATTCTAATAGGGAGATATTATAGGGAGATCCCTGTAGATACTTTAAATGATGCAATGATTCCTAATATAGCATTCAAAACTGCTATCCAGATTTTTTTTTTTTTTTTTTTTTTTTATAAA